CAAGTAAAACAGTCAATGACTGACTATATATGAAGGAATCAGAATTGCAGATTTTCGGGGTCGATTTCTCCTACCCAAACACCTGAAGTAATTCCGAATAGCTCGTTCGAAAGAAAATTGTTTTATTAGGAAGTGTGCAAAATTTCAAAATACGGATTTTATTCAAAATGTAACTCGGAATTACAAAAACTCAAATTTATGCGAATTGAAACGTTTAATAACGATTTTTCTAAACGGCGTATCGAACGGCGTAATACTTGGTGAAATTTTTTTACATCTCAGATGTTTTTGTTTGGATATTGAATATTCCTTGATAATACGTTTTCTGCGATTACAGCTTATTAAGGCCAATAACTCTCATATTTTTCGGTGTTTTACGGTAAGTTTATTCAAAATAAGCTTAAAATGACATGAAAATAAAATGATTATCATTTAAAAATGCCATTTTATCGGATAACGTACATAAATTGTATTAATAGTAATTAATATAAACATAAGTTTAAACTTACTGTTGGGCTGTAACCCAAGTTGAGCCAAGTGAGCCGTAATTTAAAATATGCAGGTCAGAGCAAAAATTTATTATTGTTCGGCTTATATAACACACGCATGATATTATACATTTTAATATTATATTACATATACAGTATAGTATTAGCATTCTTTACTCCAGAGGATGTACTGTACTGTACATGTTTCGCAACCTTGTTATGAACCAATTTTTCTTCATTGATACTGAACGTATCTACAGCAACATATAAATATTAATGGCTGCTTTGTTGATAAAGTTATTTTGTCAAAAATGAGGCTGCTTAACTGTTGGCTGTGAAACAATTTCGTTATGATTATGGGAAACAGCCACTGCTGGCCATCCAATACTAATTTTATACTATTACTGCTTGAAGTTTGGAAAAGTCTGCCAGTCTTGCTTACAATTCCAAAATCATAAGTTGAACTTCTTATTTTTAATTTTTATATTTACCCTGCTTTTAATAATATGCAAGATAATCCATTCAATTTTTATCTTAATAATAGATAGAGTTCATTTACATCATTTGTCGTAGAAATTCTTGGTAATCATTTAAACGCTTATTCATTATGCATATCCATAATAATATCAGATTTAAATTAGTTAATAGTTTAGTAGATGCTCAGAAATATACTTCTTTATACCCAATAAACTACTAAATGCACTATACAATTTACTATAATTTTAAATTTCTTGTTGTAACATTATAATAATAAATTCAACGTATTTTTACCAATAGATCGAGAACTATATGGAAAATGGACCAGTCTTCGGACTATAATTTGCTCAAAGCTTATTAAAAACGAATAGTAATTAAGAAAGCTTGAATTTTAAAGATTTCACTTGTTCTATTTGTAGAATGTACGAGTTATAAAAATTACTATATATTATATATATATTAGAATGAAAAGATTGTAATCAAGCCACAAAAAATATTGTAGAAAACTGTTACCATAAAAAATAGAACCATATAACTAATTATAAATATTAAAAGAAGCTTCGCAATAGTAAAACATCTGGAGCAACAAAAAACGAAATTCTAAAAGTAGTCAAAACTGTCTAAAAATATTTTCCCTTAAAATTGTGTGATGCCCACAGAAATCAATAAAATTTAAATGTTAATAAGGTAACAAAAAGATTTCAGCTCTGTTTATACACAAACAAAATTGAATATTTTTATTTGTGTTGTGATTGTACGAAATATATTGTGTTTAAACTTTGTGTTATAATTGCAAAAGTAACAAAAATAAATAAACAACGTAATTGTGTCCACTAGTGACCGAGTGAATAAAACCATTCTGCCTCTGGTGCTCGTGAGTTCGTGCCTGACCAACGGCATGGCTATGTGGAGTTATCCTGGTTTTCTTTGCGTGTCTAATGCCTAATTTGGACCAATTTCTCATAGAAAATTATTCTGGAAGGCATCGCCTTTGGCAGATCGCCCATGTATTGCGTTGCCATCAAACCAAACAATTTACAAACATGTTTATTTTATTTTTATTTTTTTTAATTATGTTTTGCTATGGTATAAAATCTATAAATAGTAAAAACTAAGAAGAGCAGAATTAATGCTGTTCTTAGTTTGTTTTTTATTTATAATACATGAGAGAGTTGTAAACTAGTTCGTAATTTAAACACATTAATTATAAGTCAATTGCCAATTTTCCCTCGAGTCTAATCAAGTGATATGTAATACAGTTATGCACATTTTTATATTATGGTTTATATGAATATATGTATAATTTCTTGTTTTATTATATGTAAATGTTACAGCCTATTTAGAGAATCTAGATTAGATTTTTTACGCAAAGCACTAGCTTACATGGATTATATTATTGGCCTGAATTTCTCATTATAAGTCTGATCCATAGTGGGTCATACTTATGTCAGACTTATCCAGACTTATCCATGAATATGGAAAAATATATTCCAATTTGATCTGAATTCATTCTATTATTTTTCATCAACAATTCCGTTACTTTTCAAGAACCACTAATTGTTTTATCGGATTCGAATCCGAATAACCTTATAGATTTAGGGGATATCTATGATAATGCCAGATGGATATAAACCTAGAACTTCTGCAATTTCCTAAAATCGATATATCACACAAAAATTAATTATCATTAAATACATACAATAAAATGGGGCAGAGAAATTTTTCTTTCTTGAAATATAATTAAAATTGTTACAATGAATTTGTAGTCTGTAAGGTAACACCTATTTCAAATCCTTATAATCTCGAAAATATGCTACCTGGAAAGTGCTTTGATTTCTCATGTATTATTAAAAAGTTATAGTCTACTAAAATCAGTTAAATAGTATTTATTTTTGAGAATTATTCAAAATTAACTTTATTTATGTAGAATATTTTATCATTTAACCATCTGACCGTGGTTTTACTATGTATTACCAAGAAAATAGATTTCATGATAAATAGTAATCATTGATGAAATGGTGCTATTCGTGATGAATCATTGTATTTACCAGATAATCCACAAAACGTTGATTGGTAAATTATATAGGCTTTTACAAAAAACCCAACTACACATGTAGAATCTTCAAATTGTAAATTAGCGAGAGGAATAGTGCTATACCAGAGAAAAAATAATTGATTTCTGACTATAAAGCTATATAAAAAGTAAGAAAATCAAATACAAAGTCATCATTGGATTCTAATGGGAATATGCGTAGTAATTTTATTGGAAAATTTGTAACTTGTTCCAATATGTACCTCGTTAATTGCGCGTGCTACAAAAGATGTGATGTCCAGATGGCCCAGTCAGTTAAGACGTCCGTTATCAGCTGGCTTCCCCACTGTGGTCCCGAACGAACCCACAATAGGTATGGAAAAAGGCTCTCTTAGTGACTATAGGATCAAAAGACTAAAAAACCAACTTGTATAATTTACAATATTTCTAACCTTTCTAACAACACAGCTAGTATAGTAAAAATTCCGGAGAATATCCATTGTAACTATTTAATATTCAAATCAAATCAGATTTATATTCGAATAACAATTCATTATCAATTAGGGCAACGCTCTTTTCAATCATATATATTATTCACGAATTCATTTTAAAATAGATTTATCTAATTTGAAGTTCTATGGTCAGAATATTTTCTTAAGCTTTTATGTTTATAATGAGAGATAGCTCATTTCTTCTCAGAAATTGATGTAATTTTTTCTATTTTTCTTATGCTTTAAACTTGTTTGTTTTGTTGACATTGCTTCCAAAGCTCAGTTTTATGCTTTTTTATGCTTTTTGTATGCCTAGAAGGCAAAACCACTTTCCGGTCGTGGACAAAAATTTCAATTTATTTAAGCGGGGAATTTCTTAAACAGAAACATTTTAACAGGAAAAAATTTACACCTATCTTATGGGGAAAAATTGGGATTTTTGAAATTAAACTTCTTACAAGGGAAACCTTCTAATGAGGAAAGTTCTTAACCGAGTTCTACTATACTAGGATTGCCAACCTTTTGAACTTTGCATGTAATAGATTGCCTATATCAAACAAAAATGAATTGTAATCAGTAGACTTGTAAATATGGCCTACTGATTAATATTTGTCTTGATAATGATGATAATTTGCAATTAAACGAAATCTTACTAACAATAAGGACTGGAAACAATTTCTATGAAAATTATAATTATCTTCTAACTTTCAGTTGGATAAACGTAATGCGAGACTGATAACGTTCCAATTTAAGTGATAATTTTAATTTTGTATGAATTAATCGGGAATGGTCAATTCATAAAAGTGAATATATATTGAGCATTTTATTAGAATTTTCAGTTCATTTTCCATAAGTAAAATACAGCAAGTCCTCACTTAATATCGTTTCGTTATAACATTGTTGAGTACATTTGTAACAATGAATTTTGAATTTTCTTTATAAACAGTAAAATTGATTCTATCAGGTTGGAATTAAATGTGGAAGTTGCAAACGTGATCCAATAAGAAACTAAACTCTTGTTTATATCATTTAGCCTATGATAAAATTAGTTTTGTTATACAATACATCGCCTCGTTTCGCTTAACCTCACAATTTCTAAGAACCTATTGACGTTAATGAGGATTTGCTGCACTGTACAGTACATTTATAAGTTAGATTTAGATATTTCGTTTGTTATTATAAGAATAACATCTCGGTAAATAAAAAATAAATGAAAACTGTAATTATAAATTATAATTATTAATTATTTAAGAAAATTTTAAATAATTATATATTTTGATACCCATATTATTTTTATTTTATCCTAGTAATTAATATATATCACAAAAATATTGATTCATTTCTTAAACTAAGAGGTTTTAATAAAATATTATATATTGACATGATTGATAGAGTTCGTTTATTATATTAATATACTTTATATTTCCCAGGTGACAATGGATATTTCTAAAAATAATCCATCAAATAAAAAAAAAGTTATAAAAGTTATTTTACTTTCGTAAATTAACTTACTAAATAACATCATATAATTGAACGATATTTGAGTGTGGTGAAAGATGACGAAGAGCTTGAATTTCTGCGAGATTCAATACTTCCTCCGTACTGAAAACATAAAACGATTAAATTGTAAAATTATTTTATTGCTGAAAATAAATATAGTAAACAAGTATTTTAAAAAGAAAATGTTTAGTGAAACTCTGTAAAGAATTCTAAAATAAACGGAAATAAATTATAGTTAAATCAGTTCAAACCACCGATATTAAATGATGTAAGTTTTCATACTGATCTAATTTTAATAAATTTACTAATTAATCTGTAATATTAAAGTGAAATATTTAATATTACAGATTAATCATTAATGAAAGAGAGTATTAAATCACAGTTCATTAATACTCTAGTATTAATACTCTAGTATTAATGAACTGTGAACAAATTTCTGATTCTATCTTAATAAAGCACAGAAGCGTAATTAAATACAGTGGTACCTCGGTATACGTCTGCTTTAGAATATGTCCAATTCGGAATACGTCCTGCTTGGACGAAACAAATTTTGCTCGGTATACGACATAATTCAATTATACGCGCCATCAATGAACAAGTAGCACTATCGGTGTACTAGACCAGACTAGACGTTCGCGGTGCAACGGTTTATAACTTTGTTAAATTTCTTCTGATTTTAATTTGTAAGTAAAATTTTATTATTTTTATTAATCATGAATTGCAAAAAGGCAAATGAAAAGCAACAGAAAACTAAAAAAATGACTAGAATCACAATGGAACTGAAAAAAGAGATTGTTGAGAAATATGAAGGTGGCATGCGTGTTCGAGATTTAACTGTTGCATACCGTATTCCGAGAACGACGATATCGACAATCGTGAAAAATAAAGACATTATTAAATCTGCTAACGTTGCGAAAGGGGTTAAATCAATTTCTAAACAGAGATCGAAGACATTAGATCATGTTGAGAAATTGCTTTTGCTTTGGATAACTGAAAAACAGTGTGCTGGCGACAGCGTATCAGAAGCAATTATTTGCGAGAAAGCTAAAAAGATACACGCTGATCTCACGAAAAATCAAGCAGGAACTAGCCAGGAAAGCGAGGTGTTTAAAGCCAGCCATTTTTTTTACACGAGAACGGATTAATCATTTTTACATTACTTCTTATGGGAAAGGTTGGTTTGGTATACGTCCAATTCGGTATAAGTCCAAACATCGGGAACGGATTAAGGTTGTATACCGAGGTTCCACTGTACTTGTAATATTAAAAGTTAAAAAAACGCTTTTATTGGTCATGTTTTCCGAGATTGGGAGTGTAGACGGTGTGGTGGCCCCACCTTCATACAAATCTACACATCATGAATAAATTCTACATTTGGTTATGCTTATCGGGTTTCGGGGTAGAAAGGACGGTTGGAGTGGCCACCCCAAAACACCATTAAAATGCATCGTCGTCGGATTTGGATATGTCCTGAAAATTTCAGCCTTCTACTTTAACTAAAGTAGATGAAATTTAAGTTGATTTGAAGACATGACACAAAGCAAATTAAGTGTTTAAAAATCACTTTGAAGATTATAAATTTTTAACTTAAAATAGTAATTAATTCTTAAATAAAAATACAATAAAAAATTATCTTAAAGAAAATTGATTTATTTTGAGACAGGAGCGATTTAGGGACGAATCGGACAATGAAATTTTAAAGAATTTTCTGAGTTATACTTTTATGAATAGACAATTAGTTAGCCAGTTAGGCTAAGTCTATATTCTTTCATATCATTATAGCATTTCTTGTATTACATAACAATTTCCGACTGTTGATATTATATAAGTGATATTAAAATATTGATTTCTTTATGCTATAACAATGATAAAATTAAGAATGATGAGATCGAAAATTTTGAATGAATGACTGTCTCTGTAAAAAATATTCTATGGTATAAGTTGGTTGAATAATGTAATATTGATTGGCAATTCATGGAAGAAAGTGAATACTATAATGAAATAGTTTTGAAATTTGGCTGATGATTAATAAAACGAAAACAGAGGGTAAGATGTTATTTAATGATAACAGGCAAGAAAAAAATATTTTGACAAAAATTGAAAAAGGAAAACATGAAAATTCGATTTAAACTAAATGGAAGAGGCTGGAGTACGTAAATGTTGCTATTAAGTTACTGATATAATTTGAGAATGATGAAGATAAACAAAATTGAAGTTGATTGTGAAATGACGATAGAATATAGTGTTTGCACGATCACTAATTTACCAATAAGATCAACAAAAGATTTTACAGCACAGTGATCAGGTAGATATTAATGTTGTACATCATTTAATGCCAATAGCAAAAACTGAATTTGCCAGATACGAATACTTATGTGGTAAGTTATATATAGTGATTTTATCTTTTACTGAAGAAAGTAAACAAACTTTTTCTAAATATTTCGGAAAAGTTTCAAATAATTACTAATTAGAAAGGAAATGCTCAAATATAATCATGAATTTTTAGGTACTGTTGTTATTGCTTTTGGGATAAGAGCTTACTGAGTCTGGTGTTTAGCACGTTAGCAAGACAAGGATCAAATGAACAAGCAGAACAATTGAAGTAGTCTAAAATTAGACAAAAATCATAAATATTTGGAAGATAAAAGTAAAAGGAAAATAAAGTAACCATAGAAATGGCCCAAAACAATAAAAAAAAGAATGGAAAAAAGAGGTCATGAAAATTCGATTCGGCTAGATGGAAAAGGCTGAAGTGATGATGATGATGATGATGACTAAAATATTAGCTTTTGTTTTCTTTTATTTATATGCTAATATAGATTTCCTTTAACCAAAAGGAAAAAATAAGCAAAATATATTATGAGTAATTCTTCTATCCTATTTTTCCGTTTAGAATATGAAGGTATTTATATCTTTTACGAAATTGATATTAATATTTCTATAATTAAAATATTTTAAAGTCGCGAAATTTTGCACGCTTTTGTCCTACATACTCTAAATTCGTATAATATAATATTAAAATAAAATCAAACAAATAAAAATATAATACAAAAATATTATTTTCAAAGCAGAATTTAAAAAATTAATGCCCTACTTCTGATATAACCTAATGAACAAAGTTCGTATCGTGACTAAAATAGCGTGTTTCAGAAGCAGTCAACATGTTCGGCCTCGCCTTGACATATTACAGACAAATGAGACCTCATTCAAACATTTCAAACTATTGATATAAAGAATTAAATCATTTTAAAAAATCGGATTAAATTTTATATTTATTGATTTTATTTTATTCGATTTATTGAGTCTATCTCATTTATTTATTAAATCAAATTATTAATACAGCGCTATTCAAATATTTGTTAGTCCTATCAAATTTGATTTCTCTACTCTAAATATATTAAAATTTTGGGATTAAAGATAAAATAAAATACTGTATATTGATTTTACAAGCGACACATTTCTGTTTAGTTACTAATATCAGTGGCCAATTTTACTAGAAGCAGTGGGAATACTTACAGCTGATAAAATAACTGCATATATATATTTTAGCTCCACCCACTAAATGTATTTATCAAGATGAACTCCAAGTATACAAAAATAGTACTTTCATTCGTTTTAATTATATTAATCCCTATTTAGATTGTTGAGATCTATTTATTTCATAGTAGATGTTTACAATAAGTAAAATTTCGAATTTATTTATTATTAAATGTAAAAAAATCTATTTTTATTTTTTAAAATTAAATAAATTTTAACTTGAGAAAATGTTTTTAAAATTTATAATCTTTAAATCGAATTTAATTTTTAAATAATAGTCATTTTTACCATGAAAATTTTCTTTTAAGTCTTTTACAAGCGTATAATTTTCCATCTTTGGTATTTTGACAAGTTAAAACCTCGGCGAAGCTACCTTCCCCTTTTTTACCGATGACTTTATATTCTGGAAAGAAATAATAATTAACCAATCAATCAAATCGAATGACAATGACCTCTAAGTTTTATCATTTGAAATGTAAATGAATTCTTTAAATTTTGTCTGATATAACTTGTTAAATTCTTTCTTTTGTTTGAACAATTATAGTTTTAATCTTTATATTTATATATAATATTTATTATTAATTATTCATATAT